TTTACTTGTATAAACCGATGATAAACTTTATCTTTCTAGTTAAAACACAAAATGCTTGCATGTAATCTCTTAAAGTTAATAACAATACGTTATACAAATGCTGTGTATTATAGTTGAATAATAGGATGTGTGAAACTACACAAAATGTTAATTGTAACCGTAAGATATCGCTCAGTGGCGCGACGCTTTCAAGATTGTTTGAATGCAGTTCTCACTATTGTTTGAACAACACGACGGGTGTTTTTATGTCAACACAATAGCAAAAATATATGATGGTTAATTAATGTTATGGATATTTAGAATCACATTTCATCGTAATGTACAGTTTTTCCATCGATAAAACATAATCATAGAAAGCTTGTTTACTCGCTCGCATTGTTTACATAGTAGAAGCTTTAATATTTTCTACAAATGTCAAAACATTTAGTAGTAAAATGAATATTGTTATTGTTTAAATAAACGCCTTAAATCTAAACTACGATACCCTTTAAAGATATTACCAATCTATTTCTCGACCAACTCCTACTTGCGTCATCCAGGTCATGACTTAGAGCATTTGCGCTGTGATAAACGGACTAGAACATAGAGTGCCACTTGAATAGCCAAATAAACAATGCGGAAAGATGCTGAAATGCACACATTCAATTATTTTATTAATATAATAATTTTAATAATATTTCATATCTCCTCCTATAAACAATCTCATTGAGAAAAAATCATGGGGTTTAAAATTCGAATATTCAGATTATTAATAAAAGATGCTGTTGCAATAAAAGATCTTATTTACATATCTGGTATATGTATGACTAGCAGAATCCGCGGCTTCGCTCGTGCTAAAACTACAAAAAACTCTAAAAAGTTCATAAAAAAATTCATCCCCTATTTTATCCTCTTAGGGGTTGAATTTAAAAAAACTCTGAAATATGTAACTCGTTATTTTTGCCGTACTCATTTCATACGAAATTTCATGCCAATATGTCCAAGGAATTAAAAGTTTCATACAAACTTTTATCCCCTATTTCACCCCCTTGGGGGTTTGGGTGAAAAATCCTTCCTTAGTGAATGCCTTCGTCATATGAGAAATACGTGTGCGAAACTTCAATTTTCTAGCCTTAAAGGTTTGGCCTGTGCGTTGATGCATGAGTCAATTACTTTTGCCTGTTATTATATATATATATACATATATATGTATATATATATATATATATTAATATATATAGATTTGATATTTTATTGAACAAATCGGGCTGTTACATTAAACATATTAATGTATAAAAATGTTTATTTTACGTTAGTCAGTCCGTCTGTCTGTTACACTCTTATTCTTTTAGTTTTATCATTTTGATATTTTATATTTCCTATAGACTTTTGTCTATAGGGAATTTTTATGTATGTATATATTATGCATGGTAACAAATAAAACTTGCTGCAAAGAAGAATCTTTGAAAGCGCTGGGGTGTAGCGAATCCTGTAATGAATTAATTAATACATACATGCACTTTACCACATCCGGTGCCTAAATAAAACGTATACTACTATACTCATGACTTCGAAATGGTGATAATAAATTTATGCATGTAAATGATAGGTAAACTAGTTACTGATGAATGAAATAAAAAAATACTATGTAAACTTCATTTAAATTATGAGTTAATTTGCTGTTGCGTAATTAATTATTAAATTAGAATATAAATTGAAATATTTAATTAATATTTGGAATTAATCCGGTTTTATTAATAATCTATACATATAATAAAATTCTAAGTCGAATCAGTACATTAAATATTTTTGGGAAAATCTTATTGAAATAGACATTATTATCGATACAGAAGCCGAATCTATAGTTTTTAGAATTTTTGTCTTTCTGTCTATTACCGCATCACAGAAAAACTACTGGAGGGATTTTGATGAAATTTGGTATGATGATCCGGGTCAACATATAGGATACTTTTTACCGCGGAAAATATCTTATTTCTGAGAAAAAATACAAAAACTGGTTAGAATAAAACCACGATGATACTATATATATTTTAGCAAGGTAACTTACTAAATAAGGCAAAAATTATTAAAAATAGCTTATCTTGAAAAAACAATAGCGCTATTTTATTTGGTTTTTGGTCATCAGAACGCGGGCGGAGCCGCGGGCAAGGCTAGTATTTAATAATATCAGTTCAAACGTACTTAAGTCAAGAATATTAAAAAAGACAAACTAAATACAATTACACTTTACAAGGTTTTGCAAATATATTTGAAGATATGTATAGGTAGGTACTCTAAACAAAGATGTTCCTTCCTGCTATTAAAAATCGTTCCGCGTTGTCTTTACTTTCGCTCGCTATCGCGAACTTAAGCTTTGAAATAATATCTGCAATTAAGATTGAAAATAGATTTTCAAACGTGAATTTTCATTAACATGGTTCATTTTCGAGTGTGCGTCCGTAAGATTTGTCATATTGTGTCTGTGGCCTGCTTATGGAATGAAGAGTGCCGACAAGCCGTCAGGCAGCCATTATGCTCGTTATCACTGGTGCGACCTTCCTCTGGAACAATGGCGGTGTCGTATCTACCTACCGACACGACGCGACGTACCGCCCGTCGTACCTTGTATTGTATAGATGTACACTCAGATCGTCGCACGCGCAGCCTCGAGTTTATATTTTTAGCTACAGGAAGGTTCGATGCTTATATTTCCTCGAGAGACTATCTACATAAAACATAATGTTATTTATCAATTTTATGCACAATGAGTATTGCTATTGTATTACAAAAGCATTTGCTACTTTAGACTACTTATTCACATTATGGTTTGAAATCCTCATTTAAATTAGTTGTCTTCACACACTATTATATGTTTAACATGTTTTAATCATTGATCACTCTTTTAATTTTTTACTTATACAATTTAATGAACCACCATTTCGAATTCTTTTTCGGTAACTCAATCCATAATATGGTCCGAGAAAGTTCGTTATAAGCATTAATTAGATATGACTAAAATATAAATTATATTCTGCTGTTTTTTTTAAATAAATATAAAAATGTCATTCTGACCGTTTTTGGCCACGGAATTGCCCATCCATCTAGGTATTTGCGAAGGAGAAATGCGTATGCGCAAACACAAGTACCCACTCTAGAGCTTTCGATCAAAAACATCGATGGGATATCCACTAAGCAGACGCAGAATTCGAACGCAGGACCTCCAAATCTGCAGACAAACATGCTTGCTACTAGATCAACGAGACAGTTAAATATACATGTATGTAAAAAGCTCTTATGCATATTAAAATCATAAGTGTTTTGATGAATTGCCTCATCTCGTCTACATGATAGTATCTTATACAGTTTAATTAATGCTAAACAAAACTTTTAGTTGTGCCGCATATTTTTATCTAGAATATCTTGCATGTGTGCATGTCAATGGTAAAAAAACTTAGTATTAATTTTATATTAATCTGAATTGAGCTCTGATATATTTACTTTTGAAGCTATAGCGTCGTACCGTACCTGTAATACAACTTTTATGGTTTTATTTGACTTTTACCATTCTGGAATTATTTTAAAAAGATTTTTTTATGACAATTTTCGTGCCCTTGCCGGGGGTTGACAACAATAGTACTCTCAATCTTCGGTACTTTTAGAATGATTCAAATTAACTTAGAAGTTAGAACCAAAATTAAGCCTTTTTAGAAAAATATACATAGATCTTACAATTAGAGCTTATTTCATTGGATAACACATAAAAAGTTTTTTTTTCTTATTTTCCATCCGCAATCAGCCTCAAAGCTATAAACAGATATGTATTTTATACACATAAATGTAAAATAACAAATTCTTATTTACCAACAAAATTAACTGTGATTGATGACGATAAATATACATATATATAGGTATGTACCTATATCATAACTTGTGACTGCACTCAAATATAATTTAATAAATACTAAATAGACCTACGTAATATAATAAATGAATTCTTAATCTATCTTTTCGATTTTATTCGCGGATTTATTTTGATATTTTGTTCCCGACGTTTCGAATGTTTCACAGCAATCATGGTCACGGAAGAGACTTTATACCCGCGAAAAAATCTGAAAACATGGTTTTATTTAAAGTGTCAAATATTCGCGTAAACCTAAAAAAATATTAGTAGTTTTCAATATTGCTAACAAATGTATATCAGTAATAAATAATATAAAAAAATAAAACGAATGATTCATAGTATTTCTGAGTCACATAATACAGTTGCAGTTTGCTTACTCTACAAATTGAATATTTATCTAATTAGCCAAACCCGTAAAATATGTAAGCTGTATGTGTACGTAGCATGAAAAATATATTATCGCAAAGGGATCACGTTTTTATAAGCTCATTTACCTATTGTCATTGAATAGGACAAATTTCGGCGGGATCAAACTGTCTGGTGTTTATCTTAGAAGATATTTTGGTATAGCCAGAGTGCAATAGCCTGATCTCGATGTTAATATGTATATCGCGACACGGTGACGTCAGAACTGTTTACTTAGACGTTTTCATCTCAAATTGGCAGATACGATTTTATGCTATTTGTATGCTGCGTAGTATGTTTTGATTCGTAAAATGAAATTTATATAACGATCTGCGCTCTTAGTATCTATATGTTTTGCTCGTTATTTGCGTATGAGTATGACGGAGAAAACAAATTATTATGTAGACACATAGCGGATTCATTCATAGTTATGTCATAATCGATGCTATGTATGACACACAGGTTCTTTAATTATAATTGAGTTTACGCAATCATTTCTAAATATATGTATATTGTATTATTTTTACCAAAGTTAATTAATAGCCGCTCGGCCAAATCTAGCAAATCGTAGCAGCTCTTGCAGAAAAGGTTATAGCAACGCGCTCTACACAAAAAACTCATATGATTTTCATGCTCGTCAATATTTATATGTTTTGTTATTGTTATTCTTTGTTTTGTAAATAATTACTTAACTAAATCTATTTATTTCTTTCAGGCTCACGAAGACGACGTTATTGGTTTCGGCATGTCTAGTAATGGTAAATTTTTGATGTCCTGCTCATCTAAGACAGATTTGATCATTTGGGATCTTAAAGGACAACAATTAGACAGGCTCGATACGTATCTAATGAATACACACACTGCTAAAATATCGCCGTGCGGTCGGTTTGTTGTCGCTACGGGTTTCTCGCCAGACGTCAAAGTGATGGAGGTCTGTTTCACTAGGACCGGCGAGTACAAACAAGTATCAAAAGCATATGAATTGACGGGGCATACATCAGGCGTGTACGACGTCGCTTTCGCAGTAGACACATCGCATATTGCAACTATATCGAAGGACGGCACGTGGAAGCTATACCACACGAGAAGTGAGTACTTATACTGATTAATAGTGTTGTTATGTTCTAATCTGTTGTGAATATTTTTTATTTGTATTTTTATATTATTAAAAATATAACGTAAATTAACATGTTAAAAATATACATTATTGCCGCTTCTCTCACGTTGAGTGAGTGATGATCTCACAGATGTGTATCCCCAATTTGAATAGTAGATTTTGATGCTATGTTAGCATCTGGAAACAAATAAACAATAAAAAAACTCTCGGCATCGTGTCAGTTGAAAGCGAAGATAAAATGAAATTGTACTTTTTATTTAGAACTTCATAATCATATGTAGGATATAGTTTTAAAATGATACTTATCTATTTTAATTTTATTATTTACCGAAAATATGAAGATAATCATATATATAAATAATATTTTATCACTTTTTGTTTTGTTTATATTTTGTGTTTAAATGTTTCACGTTATTTGACATCCCTATTCACTAGTTATTTATTGTTATCTTTGCCACCCATGTACTACGCCATAATTAAACGTTCCTCCCGAGCTCTGTTTTATAATTTGACTGTAGCGTATAGTGTTACATTTACACGTTTTGTTATTGTTTATAAGTTCACTATTAGAATTTGTATGTACGGCGCAAATAAGAAATATTCAACATGTGATCGGCGAGTGAATTTCGGCGTAACAAGCGCTATTCATGAAACTCTGAAAGCATCTGATTTAATTTTATCATGTATATGTAATTGGAAACCAATTTCCTTAATATTAATCGTGATAGCAATTTTTGATTTTCTTATTAAAAACTCACAAATATACGTGTAATAATTCAAACCATCAAAATTAATAATATGAATAATGTGACACATTTCAATGAATTAGACGAGTAAAGTTAAGTTAAGTCCATTTTGCAATACATATTGTAAAATTTAAAACAACATCTGCCCGTAAAGTACAAACGTAACGTGCGTTAACCCGAACGTTTTCAGAAAAAAACTACGCCAACTTGAACTGGTTACATCTCCGGTTTAAATGCCTATAGCTGTATTATACGCCATAAAATTGCGTACAAAGCCATTCTACCAATAATATGCAATGTTGCATCATGCAAATCGGATTTACAATTAAAAAAATTATTCACATTGTGATTATTGCCTTTTAAACAGCATGACACATCCTTATTAACTTATCAATATACTAATAATAATCAGTTTTGTTATTGTATTCTTTTGAAGTAAATATGTACCTATTTGTACAGATTATGATTCCTTATTTTGGCAGATACGATTGTTTCCTTATTTCATTCATGTAGGTAATTGCTTTCCGATAATCGAAAATCGTTTTGAGTTTTTGTTGAATACTTATATCAAGCGTTAACAAAATTACAGCTAAAACTACTAATTAAATTGATTCAATTATGCTAAGTAAATTTTCCTGTTTTAATAGCAATATTAAGTCTATCTTCACGTAATACAATAGGATAATTCGTAAATTTAATATTAAATTAATTTATGATTGAAATGCAGTCAAATACAAATCAACAGCTTAAAAGATCTCATAGCCAATCATATTAAACCCTTACAATATAATCATGCTCGTCGAGCAGACTTGTTTATTGTTAGAGATTATTGAATCTTGCAAATACATATATCTGATATTTAGAATACTTCTTTTAGGGAGTGGCGTTCTATACTAGGAAATATGTATCTACAAATTTATTTTTACTGCTGATACAATTTTTACAAACATTTTATTGGATACACAATGTACATAGGTGTCTGGGGCATAAAGTTGAACTAAATAAACAAAATTAGTCAAGTGTGAGTCAGAATCATCTGTACGTTTTCGTTTTAATTTCTGTTTAATACCTCCATATATGATCATATTTTACTGGTAAATGTGTAACCCCAATATAATGTCCTCGTGACCTAATTTCGGTCAGAGTGGCTTATTATGCAGGATGTACCCATTATAGATCGGCATTATAGTGCATAAGTTTGTACGCAACATAGCTATTCTCTCACTCATCAGATTAATTATTAATCATGCTCAGAAAGAGAGCGAGAGAAAGTGAGCGAGAGGGAGAGAGAGAGAGAGAGAGAGATCAAGGCATAGTGTGTTGTACCTATAATATTTGTTATACTATTTTTTATTTCCGGACTGTTCCTGATAATTTCTTTGACAGAAAAGCCGGATAAAGCTTCATTATGAACTAACACAGGACTCAACCTAGGAACTCATTAACTTCTTATTAGTAGAATTTAATACATGGTGTTAGAAAATATCGGTACACCAATTAAATTTGCATTTGCGCGTTTTTAATATTTTCATTATTATTGCTTTCTGTTTGAGAGCATAGAATTTTATTTCTATCGGTTAAGTCTATTCTATATGTATATTAATGTTACTGCAAAGAAAACGAACAGCTTGAATTCGTTATAAGAAAGGCTGCCTTTAAAAACGATGGCCATGTTCAGTTAATAAGTTTAATTGATTAAAAATATCGTTATTTGTATAAAACTTAGTAAGAATCAATGTTACGGTCTCTACTCTCTACTACAGAACGCTGTATCGTGTGTCTGTGAAATGTACACGGAAAGTTTGTACATAGAGATAATTATAGAGTAGCGAAATAAAACGTATCGGTAAGATATCGTGTACCAGGTAATATATTCAATATTTTTATTAATTTTGTGCATTATTAATGTGAAGTACTCTTATGTTAGTCATATTAATAATAAATCATTTTTCATATGCTAACTAGCGACTCATCCTCGCTTCGCTCAGGTACGTCCCTAGCTACGTTTTGACGCTTAGTATAGAATAGATTTTTCTTTCAATTTTTTTCGTGAATCTTTCCGATGTTTCTGCTATTCGGTGTGAAGACGAATCCAACAAAACAAAGATCATAAAAATCGGTCCAGCAGTTATAGAGTTATAAGTGTTGTAACAAACCTGACTTTGAATAGGTATATGTATATAAGATTATGTTCGCTTCTGGCATATACTCGAATATTGAATAATCATAATATTATTAAAGAGTGGCATAAACTTTGTGTATCAAAATGTATATAAATTTACATTATGTTCATTAATTAATGCAAATTATTTAGTTTTAGTTCTTTCTCTATTTTATGCCTATACGTTGTATATTATTCAAATATAAAAATTTATAAAGGTTTAATGAGTCACGATTTATTCATAATTTATGGATGTTACGTTAGTGGGACGAACGATAAATGTCTTGGGAGTTCTAATGGTTTCCATTAAAACAGGAAAATTGTTCGAAAGAGTGACGTCGCGTGACGAGCGCCCGCGGGCCTGCCCCACTGTTAGATATGCAAAATTTTATATTACATCGATAATATGTAATTCCGAATAAATTTCTAATGATAATACTATATGACTAATTTTTAGTTTTATTTTATTTCAGTTCACTTTTTCCGTTAACGATAGTGATTTTATATTACTTATTTATATTTTGAGTGGGATTATATTTGAGTATTTCCTTATTAATAAAATAAGGGTTCAAATATTATATGTTAAAACACCATACCAACTGTGAAGTTAAAACCATGCATCAATAAAATTTTATTAAATGTTTATTTATTTAAGTATAGAACATGTACATATATAACTTAATTTAGTTACTTTTATAGCTGTAATATGCGTAGATACTTTTTGTACTATTAAAATGATATAGGTATTGACTGACTGATTAAATAAGAAATAAATTACACTCTTCTTCAGAGTTTAATCCATTTATTAAAAAAAATCTATATTTTTTATCTAAAAGTAGAGACTCTCACCTCGTCATTTTTCGCCAATAACATCTTTTTTCTATCGTCAAGACTACCTGCACCTTCTTTAGGTCATTGTTATGAATGGACGACAAAGTTAAGAGGGTATTTTTTTAACTTATACTGTTATTGTACACTAGCAGCTCACCCTCGCTTTGCTCGGGTTTGCCTCTAGAGAAGCACAAACAGATCTATCCCACGGGAACCGTTCATTTTTCCGGGATAAAAGTAACTTGTTGTTTGACCGGCAATATAAGGTATTAGCACGCCAAATTTTACTATATTAGGTGCATAAGTTGTTGTGTACTAAGCTGTATAAGTTACTATAGTCTTTTAACTATCCCACGGGAACTATTTAATTTTCCGGGATGAAAAGTATATAAAATGTTGACCAGGTATATGAAGTAACACCGTGCAATATTTCATTTAAATCGGAGATTAGCCCGTACAAACAGACGAACAGACAGAGAAAGAAAAAAATTGGATTTGTTCTATTTGTCTTCTTACATCCCCCTGAATCGGTTTTAGCATTTTTTTCTATGTACAGACATGTGTTTACAATAATACGTATAGTTTTATTATATGTATTATTGTAAACACATAGTGCGTCATTATTATAATAACAAATATGAAATCCCATGAAGACATCCTTGTGGACTCCTCGGTAATCATTTGTTTGTTTATTAGTAATCAAGGGAACTTTTTGCGTAACATCTTAGTTGGAGCCAAGGATATCGTTGAGATGACGTTAAATACGTCTGAATTGCATGGCGGTCAATATTTCGAAGTAATTATGTGGAAAATCGTCTTGCGCAATTATAACTAAGGCCTTTATTCAGTAGTGTGCGACACAGACCGAAACACAGCACACATTATCTCCATGTACCGGTGTGCCGAGAGCGAAATATCATCACTCATTGTCTGTTGTAAATGTTATGAAATTAGTAATCTTAACCGTGTACTTACAAATTTGTATTTTTTTATAGTTTTAATAAATTTAAATTTTAATTACCAGTACAAAAATGTAGTTGATTTCAGTACGAGTTAGCTATACAGTATACTAATTTAACAATTAACCTTATATTGTCTTGATTAATATGAATTTAAAGAATTGTCTACAATAATAGGATATTGCATTGAAAAGGATGCGGTGTAGGATGTATGTATCGAAATCGTGTTCTTATTATTTCAATTTTAAATTGTTGTAATTTTTGTACAATGGCATATTTTGCTTTAAGTAAATACGAGTACTTTAGAGATCGTAAAAAGATTGCGTCGCTCTTTATGCGTCTTCTTTTTGCCACAGCAATCATGACGTAATCGGGTGAACATATTTTATAAACATTTTTTATGAAAATCATTTAAAATTTATAACTCTTAAGTAAACTCGAAACATTTTTGTACGTAAATAGGTAGAAAATTGAAAATGTTTGTTTTATAGAAACTTTGTGCGCGTCATTTGTATATTGATGTAAGTCTTTATTATTATTGTCGACGTTGGCTTGTTTTTTTAGTAAAGTTCATAATAATATTTTTCTAGGGATTTATTGTTACGTAATAGGTAATTCATTTCTAAAGTAATAAAAATCAAGTTTTTTCTTAAATTTGTGCAATTATAGGATGGAAAGTGTTTATCGTAGTTACGGTTAAGTCCACAGATATTTTTATTATTAATACTAGCAATACGTTTTGACGATTATTGTATGGATAGACTATATATTAGTATATTTATATATGTATATGGGTATAATGAGTTTTATACCTCTTACTTGAAAAATGATTGATTCCCTTTATAAACTTTCATCCTCTTAAGGGATGGTTTCGGGAATAAAAACTACAAAACTGATTAAAAATCGGTCCAGTACTTTTTGCGTTAAAAGCGCACACCCAAACAGATAAACAAACAAACTCTGTCTCTATAATATAAGTATAGATTACCAACTTAAAAATACTTTACCAAGCTTAGTTCATTAAGTTAACTCGATTTTATACTTTTCATTCTTTATTCCCATTTATTATTTTAATATTAACTATGATTCATTTATTATTTTCACACCAAACTGGGTCAAATAATCCACTAGGTATTAATAGAAATTTAGATAAAATTCCATTTCATCCTTATTTTACTTTTAAAGATTTATATCTATAATTAGACATTTTATATTGTCATAATTATACATTTTATTTTGTCATATTTGGCTTAATGTATTTTAATATATTTTTTCCAGTCGATTATGTTCGCGGGGAGTCGCCACACGTGCTAGAAACAGGTACTTACACACAGACTGCAAATCCGCCGAAAATCGCGTTGTCGCCAAACGCAGAAGTTTTAGCGGTGTCGTGTGACGCTAATGTAGAGTTTTACGACACGTATACTGGCAAGCTCTATGATACAGTTGAGAATGTTTACACAGGTCAGTACCGTTAGCTAGCAATCTTAATTTTTTTGTTTATAAGTAACATATTTATGTATCTTTTAAGTGCTGAAGGTAAAATTAGAATACATAAAATGAAAATTTTTATCAGACTGTTCTTCATATAATGATTATTTACATGTTTTTTGGGTAAGCTACAAAAAATAAGTATACAAAATTGCAGTCATAATTAGTTTGTCTGAATAGTTATTTAACAGTGGAAAATTTTGCTAGTTTAAAGATTTTTTGTTCTTAAAACATGAAACAAATTGGGAGGTTGCATTTAAATCTAGTACGGATATCACTAAGTCAGAATGACGATGCATAATAAAATGTGACTTAATGACATGTTGTAACAATTCTCTTATAAGTCAAAGCATTCTTCTTTGTTTTATCATCATTAAATCAAACAACACCGATTAAAACAGATCCTGGAGTGTAGTCGTGACCCGCACTTGTCGCCGTCCCTTCGTGCTAACAATCACGAAAATCTGTAACACGAAGGTGGATCATAAATATTCTATAGGAAACCCTATGACAGTTTGTCGCGAATAAAACATATTTCCATGTTTATTTATAACATTATTTTTTATGTTAGGGAATATTTTAAGCTATAACTAATACTTCTATTGGAAGTTAAGACAAGTTCTCGAGTTATATGCAGACAAAGAGACATACAGAACACCAAAATAAATATCCCTACAGAGTACGAATTTTATAAAATAGTAACTAAGTCGACAGACGTTGTCCTGTTCAAATTTCAATTACATTTGTGTAAATTACTTATTATAAATTAAAAATTTAAAAAAGCCCCTACGCAAATTAATTGTCATTTAACGATTACACGCGTGAAGCACTTAATCGAGTAATCGTACGCCAAAATGCCTTACATCATTGTGGAAAAGAGCTGATACTCTTACACTACTGGACCGATATTATCCAAACATAACTAAGAACCACCGCAAGGAAACTGGCTTTCAAATTAAAGAAACTGCATCGAAATCAGTCCATCCGATTGAAAGCTACGATGCTACAGACAGACACACACACACAGGCAAACATTGAACAGACAATAGACATCGTCAAACTAATAACACCCCTCTTTTTGCGTAGAGGGTTAAAAAAAATTATGTACCTCGAAACAGCACCTTCTTCTCTTCTTCCATACCATCTTAGTCCAATTATAGATAGCTAACAATAAGAACTATCAAAGTGACCCATAAGCAAGCAACAAAATTTCACCAAATCGGTCAAGCCGATTTAATAATCGGCTTCTCATTATTGAGGAGCAGAATTACGAACACACGCACAACGGTATTTCGGATATAATGATCTAATGTAAACACAATTCCGTTACGATAATGGCAATGTTGCCTTTTCTAGAACATTTTAGTAGTCGTAACATTCAAGTTTCTCAAATAGTAAAGGATAACTCGTCTTGATCGTGTTCTTTTTATAATACCTAAATATCTAGAGCAAAAAATTCAAGCTTATCCATCCATGTCCTTTAAGTTTTTATGATCTTCTGAGTAATGAACTAGTGAACTTTGACCTTTCGACAAGAAAGGCTCGACCCGCTCAATTTTCGAGCATCGGAACGGTTACCAGACAGACGGATGTGACGTAAAACGCAAGTATAAAATATGTTATCATGAATAATGAAAATAGTTTAGTAGAACTGAAGGCAAAGTTTTCCAGCTATGTTGTTCCTGCATTTATTTTTAACTCGTCTCGAGGCTATCGGAAACTGAATTATTAAACATCGCCGTCCTTATTGATTTTCTGAATATAGAGCGTTTGTGTGTACTGGTGGTGGAAGTACATATATGTAGGTGCTTGTGTGGATGATGCAACGTAGAATATTGAAAGTACGTTTTTATTATCATGACCCCAAAAATATTTTTTACCGATTACAAAAAAGGCGGTTTGTCTTATGTTCACCGATTCCTTATGAGGGCTTGACCGATGTAGCTAATTTAAATTTAATTCTATTAGGGTTCCCGAAATAATAACTAAATAAATGATACATACATACATTAGTGTGAACAAAAAATATTAACTTTAATTTATTATACATAGTTAAAATATCACATACATTTGTAATTCTGCGGCTGTCACTCTAATAATATTTGATTATATACCTACTTATTGTAAATGAGAAAACGCTGTTCAGTTATTATAACTTATTTTAAATGCGTATACATGTTTAGGTTCATATAATTTAATGGATAATTTTAAAGCATGCAGAACATATTTATGTTGCTATCGTGCAAGGAGATAGAGACTTCTGACTGATGATAGTTCAAATATAGTCGTCTCGCTCTTCTTTCTGATATTAATCAATATATTTTATAGTTGCATAATTTCATCTAAACCTATTCTATAAATATAATATAATAGCAAAGCATAATATAAGGAAATATAAGGAATATATATATATATATATATATATATATATATATATATATATATATATATATATATATATATATATATATAATATATATATATATTATATATATATATATATATATATATATATATATCCCTTTTGTGTACTTCGAATAAGGTCGATTCATGTCGTCGTTGTATTGAATACTTTATCTGACCTACGTTTCATACTATACTGGTTATTATTATCATAGCATCGGTTAAAAATGCAAACGGTCAAGTCCGTATGCCGCTTACGTAAAAATCTTAATTATAAGAAGACTGTCATGTATGTAATTTAGTCCATAACTTTGATAATTATAAATGCAAATTTTTTTTAACGAATGATTATTTTGTTTTATTACGCTTTTTATCAACGATGATTAATTATTCAAACAGTGTCACTTCACATTTAGATAATTTCAAATCGGCCGGTTTTTCTGACAATGTAGACTTTTTGCGCTAACCTTGACTTGACAAAGTAGTTCTTATAGATTATAATCATTATAAAAACAAAGAAAGACAATGAATATTTCTTCCAGGTTTGATAAACTACATGTGTTTCGATCCGGCGAGCAAGTATTTGTACGTTTGCGGCGACCGAGCAGTCAGAGTCCTTCACAATGTATGCGGGTTGTATACTACCATCAACAGCTGTACGAGGCTACTCGGCTCAAAGCAGACTTCCGCGACCGTGGAACGACTCAATAACACCATTAAAGACTGCAAGGCGACTCTTGCAAAGTTTGGCAAGTGAACTACCTAATATGTTTATAATAGTATATGTCTAGTATCGTTCTGTGTTATGACATTTTAGTTATTATTAAATATACCTACATTCAAAATATATTTCTGGTCTAATGATTAATATGAAAATCTACTTGTATGTATAATTGTGGATTATTGGTGTTCCTATCATTGTCTTATTATGTACCTACAGTGTAGAGGACAGATTCCATGTTTGTTAGAGAATATTATTTGCATGACTAAATATGTAAGTCTTATTAAGTACATATGTTAATTTTTAATATTCATGTGTAATGTTAGAATGTATTTGAAAAAAAGATTTATTGCATTTAATTTTTATTAATAAATTATCTGTCGTTTTAGTGTTACTACAATATTATTATCGATTGCATTTATAATAGATTTTACGAAACAAAAATGTTGATAGTTTTTAACTTTGGATGCCATTATTACACTTATTGCTTACTATATAGGTACTATCAAGTAATATTTTATTATGTATCAATTGTTTAACACTGGTCCAAATTTTGTATGTGATTTATCTCAGTACTTCTAAGAATATTTCGACGTGAGTATTATTTACATGGCAAAAACATAATCTTATGATGAATTTAAATTTATATGTAGGTATTGAAATTTTAGAAATTAATCCCGGAGTATACTTATTAAATTATATGAAGTGACATGCAGTTTGATTTACACTATGTTACGAGACATATTTTATTCATACTATATACATATATGTACAATAGAGGTGAGGTTCGACTATAAAAAGATATCCATCGGGCACCTTTCACGAAGCTCAATTTAAAATGGTGTTGTCTCAATCTAATATCCATATAGATGTATCATTTTCGTTCTTAGTCCTCACCTCTGTACATATATGTATAATGTATATATATAAATGCTTCTCTATTCATACCTATTACCTACAAAATATCACGCGCGCTCATCGAATTTGCTATTTCCATCACAATAAACAGTGGCAGTCAACGACGGTCATGATAAAAATCTTTGGATTTTCTTTAAATAGTAAATTTTGTAAGATAATAGATTTCTAAATCACTCAACCACTTTGTTTTTGTAATAGTTATTTGAAATTTATATCGTAACAGTACATTGATCATTAAGATAACGATTGGCGATGATAATTACGTATTTCCTAACTTCAGGAGATATTTCTGTTACGTATATTGCATTATATCTACATTATTAGATCTAAACATATTTTTTTAAATTTATTTTACTATTTTGTATAAACTACTAAATTTTAAAATGAAGTAGCCTCGGTCGTTGTAAAATGTTTAAAATATCATCTATTCTTATGATATATTCAATATTTCTATAATCACAAGCATCATTTATCCTAAATTAAATAAAATTTGTTTGTCTTTATTTATCGCCGTATATTTTACCTAATGTTTGGATGATTTGTATATATATGAATGCCAATATATACCTACATAGCGTTTGTTTAAATAATCATAACGGAAGGAGCACAATATAAGTTGACTTAATGTGTTTGCATTTTATTCATATATTTAAATTTCATCTTTTATATTCTAATACGTTATAACTTTGTTTATTTCAACGTTTTGTAACAGTTCCTAAGGTTATTTACGGAGATTCCGTTGACGTCATGAATTACATTATACTTTTCTCTCCTTTTAGCTACCCTCATGAATTGTTATGTATCTAATGAAGCGATCTCTGATGTATTTCTATTATGTAATAAATATTGATTTCTTATATTTTTACTTCTGTGTTTTATTTAAGTATTTTTATGCTTTATTTTACCTACATTTTATTTACAGGAGTTAAATTAACAATTTAATTGATATGTTATCTACTTCAGTATTGCGAATATTTCATTTGAAGATGACAAATTCTATTAAAATATGCATATTCTTTAAATTTGTACCTATTAAAATTGACATTTCTACACGTTACGTAGATTTATCGTGAAGATTTTTACTTTATCTCTTAAATTATTTATGACGTTTTTCTGCTTGTATATTTCTGCATAAGCTGGGGACCTCTGAAGGTCACGCATATTTTTATTTTAACAACCATTTTGTATACGAATATTAAGTTAAAGTAATGATAAGAACTTGTCTTTATTATGTTCGCTATTAATAAAGATTAGTAGTAGCGATTGACAGTCGAGCATTAGAGGACAACAAGGAAGTCAGACGCTTTGGAAATCTATATTAATATTATAAAGAGGTAAAGTTTGTGAGTTTGTAGGGGGTAATCCCTGGACCTACTGAACCGATTTAGATGTTTGGTAAGATAGTTTGAGACCATGGGAAGGAAATAGGATACTTTTTATCATGGAAATCATCCCTTAAAGGAAGCAAGGTAGGGATGAACCCGAGTAAAGCGAGGGTGAGTAGCTAGTATATAAAAAATTGGTAAATATAATGACCATTAAATGTACATACATAATTATTATGCTAGCTCATAGTATAAGTGGGAAAATATGGGATATTCTCTAATTGGCATTTTGCTTCTGCCTACCTTTATTCTGTCGACTTGTGTTTATTTTAAAGTTAACACCATATCAAGTTTTAAGAATTTTTGTCGCGTTGTGATTAATGTAATGAGAACTATTGTAACTGGTGATAAGTAGCCAACAAAATAATATAATACAGCGCCTTTATCAATAGTATATGTTAAAAGGTAATTGTTAAATAAATATTAAGAAACTATATTCCACAAAGATTTTTATTTTACGCCATAATTTTTTTTATTCTATTAAAAATAAATAATTTTACTTCAATATCATCTCTTTTATAAGTAAGCGTAAATTGCTGATAATACATTGATTCATCACGTTAGCACAAAGACACTTTTGTTCTCGCGTTCCCAAGGTGTTCCCACGCACGTGCATTAAATGCATTTTTAATATTAATTGCCGCTGACACGAATTACTATAACGCTTTTTATAAATATATAAAATATATTTAAAATTTATTAATATTCCATTCCACCTATTTAAAAATCCTAAATATCAAACCATACAGGAAAAATAAAACGAATACTAGATTTAAACTTTATTTTATTTCGCATAAAGTGACATTATTGATATTAGACTTGAGATACTCTGTGATTATGATTTAAGTACAATTTCACAGCTTTTGACAAATATAATTTAAATTTAGTTTCATGATAGATGTAACTAATGCTTAAGGAGTCAATTCCGTTATTTCGTTTTGCAAAAATAGTTTTCGATGTTAAAATAGATTTTCTAGTTCCAAAATTAAATATGAAGTGTCTGTCACTTTTATTTATTTGCACAAAATAATATATTCACTTTATACTTAACATAGTTCTTTGATCACAAATTACGTTTGTACCAATCGCTGATGTCGACGTATCCACTAATAGTAACAGGTATTTTAGTGTTTTGATATCTATAAATGCGTATAACCCTAGAGGCAGTAATTTGTGAACAGTTTGTGACGATGTACATACGTTATATATAAGAAAAATAATATAAGAAACGTTAACAAATTTCACAATCACAAGGAACAAAATTACAACATTAAACTGCTTGCTTAGAGATAAGATAACAATCATTTGCTAATTGATATGAAGCTGGTAACCACATTAAAGCGCCAACCACACTGGACTTCGTCAACTGCGAAATTCTGAGAAAAACTATACATTTTAAATTTTGTAGTAGCACAAATCGTAGTAGCAAGACCGGGTGGAGGGATTTTGTTTACATATACATACATACATTTTGTTCCAAGTGTATCTATTATTAGGAAATCACAGCATGAATGATATTGATGCGCCCAGTATAACTGTATGTATCTAATACAAATATTAGCCCAGCCCTTGTTACAACCCACGTATTAACGTATATGGCAACATAATGCGATGATGGCAAATATCACACGTCACATTCGAAGACCAATCTAATTCTCGCAGACGTTTCTCTCACGTTGTTTTCTTTTACCATATTAGTAAATATTAATCGCGTTGAAAATGACATTTGCACATGTAAATTAGAGTTCCGAAACCCAAGTTTACAACTAGCACACATCGTTTTTAGGACGAGCGTGCTACTAATTGGTAATAGTAAAAAAAAAATAGAATATATATAAATATATAATATAATATCTGTATATAAGATTAAGCAGATTGACAAAAGTCGCTAGTGCAGATGGCGCCTAAAAGTTAGCTAAGGTTTTATTGCTTTATCGCACTGTTAAATACAACAATACAAACGATATTACAATATTTGTTCATAAACTTAATTTTATATTCAATAAACCAGATCTAGTACTGACACCTTGAAGATAAGTAAGATGGCAGAAATATAAGTGTCACATAACAATAAGACTGTATGTATCATCATGAAATTGTATTTTTGATAAATATTTGGAATTCGTTTATCTAAATTCAGATCATTCTATACAATATATCTAAGTTGTAACGCACCGAGACTAACGTCTTAAATTACATATTACACAAATACGTTACGACGTATTATGACTTGTGTAAAACCAAGCCTTATGATATTATTATGAAATAATTTATTACGAGTTATTTAATGCTAAATAAATCTATGACTGGCGAAGCCAAAGAAATAAATAGTAAACATCAAAAATCAAATAATTGATGTAGACACAAACCGGTCGCCATACAAAAAATGTGACAGATGATAACAGAAAAAAAAACATAGGTACATAGCCCAATTATCGAATTATTCATTAGACTTTTTTTTTTGTAATAGCTTTATTTTAAGAACAGATGAATAAAAAAACCTTAATTATTTTATTTAGTATAAAAACAAAATATTATCCACCAAACAGTCTTTGTATAGCAAAGGTTACATGATATCGAATTTTAGAGATCATTAATTTTACTAGACTTTTAATAAACTACCGAATCATATAAAGAATTGAAATCAGTCGTGTACATTTTTTCTTATATTTAAATTATTCATACAATCAATATACTTTCTTTACTCACTTGGAGATATAACGTTACCATTAGGATTTGTGTTAAAACTTTATATTAATTGATGTTAATATAAAATAACAAAATGTGCTTTTTTCATTGATATGAGAATTGAGAAAGTGCGATTATGACAAAATAAAGTGACGGCCGGTATGAAAGGAAATTCAGTTAGATTCCAAAGCTAACTTTTATATTCATATTAAAATTAAACAAAGACGAAAAAAATGTGGCGATGTAATTATTGATTGTAGTTATCCGAACAATTATATGGACAAACAGACGCTAATAACGACTAATATTATATTAAATGCAGATTAATTCATAGTTCGTCTAAAATCTAGCAAAATGGAAGCTTCGTGTGATATGGTGTGTCGTTCTCATTGAGCAAACGTTAAACAATGACTTATTTATATGAAACACAATGATTAATTATTAATGTCATAAAATTTAATACTCTCAAATGACTGAGATTATTTTGTTAATATTTTCAATATAATAAGATACTTTTAGGGCATTAAAAATTAAACACAGTTTCTTGCTTACTGTAAGAGAACGCTAAAACACGCGTAGTGATCTAACTACGAATAAGCCTACGAGATAATGCTGCAATCATTTAGGAAAAGTTGGATTTTTAAATATAATTATTTAAAAATCGTTGTGAGATTTTGAAATTTTAAAGGATCTAAGTGTGTTTTTGATTGGATAATTAATTAACGTGAGATATAAATATTTAATTATAGCTCTGGCAATATCCATGTGTATGTATTAGATATAATACAAATAAAACAATATATTCAAAGAAAAAATAACAAAAATAAAGTATACAGTAGATATTATATAAAAAAGAAAAATATATTTTAAAGTTTCTTATATCGTATTCTATAAGAAATAAGCATAGAATTTCTTGATTATTTTATATAATGTTTTAATACAAGTCTAAAACAACATACATTAATTATTATTAATGATCGATAAGAATGAAATCTTTGGAAGCGTCGATATTAATTTAAAAAAAAAAACGAGCAGAGAGAGAGAGAGAGAGATTAGGCCTTTTATAATTTATTAATAATCCTCGTCATAAAAAGGCCCAATTCGTCAAGATGATTTCGAGATGTTTGAAATTTTGTCTTGCTACGTCAAAATTACTACAAGTTTTGACGTAGTTACGATTAAAATGGTTGTGGTATCTCCGGATTCATAAGACTTAGAGGTTTATGAATAAGACTATCAAGTAGCATTATTTTTTGCTGATTCCGAATCTGCATTTAAGTCATTTTTGACCAAATTGTAAGTGAGGGCCTTCTTTATTATGACGGCGGTATACTTTTTAATACATTTATTAGTATCACAAGTTTTCAATCATTTTTTTTCACTATTTGATACTAAATTTTATATTATATATAGATTATATTGGATACTAATATTGCGAAGGAACTTATTTTTTACAGAATACGATAAAGTAAATCAAAATAAAGTGCTTTGATATTTTTTTATATTCTGATGTAAATGTTGTTTTTTTAGAATGTGCCTTTAATGTTTTTATAAATTAGTTATATTCTTATATAACCGGAATCTATATATTTTTTTTAATTTATATATGGCTGAATATACTTTAATTTAATTCATATATTATGCTTATATTATAATAATTAAATTTTCGTATACCACATTCTGAATTACGCGAATATTTACTGAGATATGTAGGAATATCGACACGAATCGCATTTGTATAAGACAAATTATAATATGATCACTGAGCATATATAAAGAGAAGCCGTAACTTGTTTTCCTTAAGACAGTGCATGTCACTTTCCCACTCAAGCACTTGTTAACTTCTATTTTTGTGGTAAATTATGTACGCAAAAAAGGAAATAGACGGCTCTCGGTCTGTCGTCCCCAAAATTTATTAAATAACGTCAGAGCTCAATGACTAAAAACACAATTGCTTTTGACATTATCTAGAGATGATAAAAAAGTATTTTTACTAAAGACAGATAGATATATCTTCCCGATCGATTACATACTTATAGCTTACGATGTAGCGATCGATAACTAGAAGAAATCTTTAAAATTGAAAGTTCGCAAAATGTTTTTCTTTAAATACATTGCCTGTAGGATTTTTTTATTACTTTTTTTATTCCGAAGGCAATACTAAACAGAAAATTATTCATAATTACCAATCTGTCTCAACCATGACGGTGCTATAGAATATATTTAAGAAGTATTGTGAGATTTCCATAAATTGTTATATTCCATAAATTATTTACCAGGAAATAACAATCGGAATTGAATTATTAAAAAGAGACGAACTCACTGTGGCGCTATATTTCTTGTAGTTCCAAAGAACTAACAGTAATAATATATTATTATAACAAATCAATATTTTTATTTTAAAATCAAAAATATCGCAATTCAGAATTTGGCACATCACTAAACGACCGCATCAAAATAGTTACGTTAATATTGAAGGATATAGGCACAAACTTTATCTAATGATTCATTACCGATTTTTACTTAATATTGTCATGAGTTTCTATTATTTTAGTGAAATATATCGGCCGATATACAAATATTATACATTACTAATGTTCTTATAATGTCATGTAAACCGTTTTTCTATTCGAAGTTACTACTGGATTGAACATTTATAATTCGTTTTAACTTTTTTTTAATGTGTAAAAATAACCGTTTCCAAACTAAGTACGGGTTGGCGATTCAGTAAATTAAGATTCTACGCCAATATAAAACCGAACACTTAATTAATGCACTAAAAACTAAATACTCCAAATAAACACTGACTAAAGAGACACGCTTAAAAATGCGCGAAACAAAGATAAAGACGTCAAATACTGACATCGAATCCATAAAAAATGTATTAATAATATAACTAAAATATGGATCACGTGGCAATGAATTTGAATTACAATAAAACTAATTCAATTAATTTCATGAAGCATATCAAAATAGAACTTTTCGTACTAAAGAGTCCTAGGTTCAGTCCCTCTTAGGTTTTCATTAACTATAAGCACTAAAACATTGGTTTATTAGAAGACTTAAATAAATTAATCTTTCAAATATCACTGAGTATTTTGAAAAGAGAAACTCTCATCGAGGATTTTGTCGCGATTTAACATTTTCTTTCCCGATGTTTCGAGTGTTTTAAAACAAACATGGTCACGGGAGAGACTCGTCTCTTAAGATAAGATCAAAATCCCAAAAGGTAGTTTAATTTTTCAAATGTCAAATATTCGCGTAAATCAAAGAAAGTATTATGCGAACCAGTACGGACTGAAAATCGCAAATCTATACAGATAAATAAAATTGAAGTGTCCGTTTGTAATGTCAAAATAACAGCTTTTTACTAAATGCCTATGAAAATATGTACTTTTTGTCTGTCTGTCCGTTTGTTCCGTCTAATCTCCGAAGCGGCTGGACCAATTTTGGTGGGACTTTTATTGGCAAGACAGCTGATGTTATAAAGAGTAATTTAGGCTTCTTTTATTTTAGAAAACTAATCAGGGTTCCGCGCAAAAAATGAAAAACCTATGAAATTGCGAACAAAATCTGCGTACCTAGGGACGCATCCGATCGAAGCGAGTGCAAGTCGCTAATTTAAAATCAAAATTAAATATTGATTAAAATGAAAACCAAATATTGCCAACCTAATATTATTTTAGAGCAGAATCCATTGCCAAGTGAACCGTTGAAAGACACTTAAAAGAAATAAATACTGTAAGTACTAATCGTAGTAGTGCGCGCACTAATGACTTTGGTACGAGTGTCGCAGTCCCAGGTATGGCCAATGTTCGATTCCCAGTTTGTGTTGGACTAGCATGAAATTCGTTTCCTTTCGCCGCTCGACGTTCTCCGCCATTTTAACTGCATATCTGAAAAGAATAGGAAGTTTTTTATTATTATTATTATGACTGGAAAGATTGTGAAGTTTATTTCATGAACAAAACAGAAAATAATCCCATTGTTAATGCATTACAGTAATCAAGCTGGCCACTCGGCATGTAGACTCTACATCATAATATAACACATGACATACTGCCGTCATAATAAAGTAAAAAAAAATAATTAAAAAGTGATTTCAAAAAATACTAAACAATAAAAAAAAACAACATCAAGTAATGATTTTGTAGGGTAGGCACTGTCTATAACAAGTATATAATGAGACATCTGAAACCTTAGTCTCTCCCATGATCATGATTGCTGTAAAGCATTCGAAACTTTAAGAATCAAAAATCTGATTAAATCCACGAAAAAATCCGAAACGACAGTTTTATATTTAAAAAATAAAATAAAGAGTGCGTGTATGAATAATGAATGTGTCTCCCGCAAGGAGTAAAACTTCTGTAGGTTATCGGTGTTCTTTATGAAATTCAATTTATGTTTTAAATAATTAGGATAGGTGAGATACAAAAAATAACGCATATTAGTCATATTACAATCATATATTTATAGAATAGCATAAGGCAAGAAAATAATAATATATATCATTTCTCAGACAATAACAACGGTTACCATGGCAACAAACGTTCGCCTCGCCCGAGTTACACTTTACGTCACGCATTTAAAAAGCTTACCCCCCAAGTCAAGCGTGCGTAAAGTTTTACTTCAAAAAAAAAGTCAAAAATGAGCGTAAATCTAAGGCACATACCTAGCACATTCACCAGTAGGTGTGCAGCCTCAAGCAGTCGCCGGCGAGGTCGGCGAGCAGCGCGCGGCGGCGCGGCAGCAGCGCCAGGCCCGCCACGCGGCGCGGCCGGCGCTCGGCCAGCTCGCACGCGGCCAGCACCCCGCCCGCGCCCCCCGCGCCGCCCGCGCCCAGCACCACGAGCGCGGGGCGGCCGCGCACGGAGCGCGCGCACACGATGCGGTACCCGCTGTCCGTGTGCTCCAGCGCTATGCCGCCGTAGCCCCCGCGACCTGCACAGTGCACACCATTCTTTGTATTATACTAGCGACTCACCCTCGCTTCGCTCGGGTTCGTCCTAGGTACTTTTAAATTAAAATGGATATAGTATGTTATCCTTAAGAGATAGACATATGCCATCGCGGACTTTTCTGTAGACCTATACCTATAAGATACACAATTCCACCATACATCATTTTGTTATATCTCAAAGGGTTTAGGCAGGCAGCGTTTTCATTGAAAACTCCCAGACAGCTTATTTTTTTCCGACAACTTAAAAAAATATCGTTATGTTTTAGCCAATGTATACAAAAACTTAACAAATTATATACTAAAACCTTCCTCCTGAATTACTCTATCTGTTAAAAAAACCGCATCAAAATCCGTTTTCGAGTTTATCGCGTACAGACAGACAGGAGGACAGACAGGAGGACAGAAAGACGCGGCCGGGGGACTTATTTTTATAATAAGTATAGATATAGTGATTCAGGGCTGCCAGATCGTATAATTGGAAACGAAAATTGTAAAATATTTTATTTTAAGTTATTACGTATTTTTATTGATTTTTTTTATTTGTCACAGACCATTTCTCAATAGCTTTGTTAATTTGTATAATAAAATTTGATTTGGTATATTTTCAGTGACCCAGCGGTATAAAATACGTTAGTTGTTATAAAGTAAGTTACTCTACTAGCAGCAGTTGTCTTTACTGGCAGCCCTGATAATATTGGCATTTTAAAAACGAAACAAACTAATATTTTATATTAGCTTGCCGATGCCAGTGTCGCGTAAAATACACAACAAAATGAAAAACAAAAGTTGAAGGGAAAATATAGAATAATGTAACAATGAATATAACAAACTGAACTGATGCAGAAAGTAAAGTAAAGAATATTTTTTGTGAACATTTTTAATTTAAATTATTTTTTATTAAAATCTAAACATATGTATGAAATAAAAATAAAATCTAAACATATGTATGAAATAATTTTGAATAATGAATAAAACAGGAAATCATTGTTAAACCGAAAGCCGAAACTAAGACCCAACAAAAATTAAATTACTAACCTAATTTAATACTCAAAGAAGAGATAAGTCAGAACATATAACATGTATGTTAAAATATTGTAATAAGGAACTATTATTTACACACAGAATATACATATTATATGTACGTACATACACACAAAATGTATCTACCACACACACACAATACAAATAAATGAAACCTTTCGGTATGGGAGCGAGCGTAGCCTGCAGGTTTCCCTCCGCGTCGTATACGCGCACCGCCACGTCCGCCACCACCAGCATGTCCTCCGTAAGCGCGAGCCCGCCCACCAAGCCGAGGTCGCCGTTGCCGACCTGTCAAATAAAAAAAAAACAAATAATTATTTAAAATCATAATATAAGCGTTGAATTTCGTTTTTGCAATCCCGTGGGATATACTTGTTTTTGTCTAGGGAAGAACCCGAAGTGAGGGTGAGTCACTAGTTTGTTTATAAATTGTAATGTATTTCCTTAAAAATATTCAGTAAGTAAAGCACGCATTATTTCGTCTACATAATATCGTGTCGGCCAATAACAATTAAATGTCGGTCAAAACGCTGTCAACGTCGGCCAAAACGCTGTTAATGTCGGCCATGTTAGCTCAAACGACCGACCTCTCGCTCAATGTTGCCGTGCGTGTCGAACACGAAGACCGAGCGCGCGCCGTTGTCGGCCACCGCTAGGCGGCGGGACGCGGCGTGCGCGGCGACGCACACCGGCTCCACTAACCGCTCGGAGCGGATGGTGCGCACTGTGCCGCCTTCGCTGTTAATCTGATAAAAAATAAATACTTTATTTTCCTACTATCATTTAAATACAACTATCTTTCCGGATTTTTTGCGGATATATTTTGATTTTAAATTCTTTACGTCAATCATGGTCAAGGGAGAGACTCACCCAAAAATTAAAATAAATCCGCGAAAGAATCCGAAAAGATCAAGACAAATATTCATATAAAGCTAAGCGCTATCAATTGTTTTATAGTAACCATGTTTAATACTGTGACTGAATAATAAAAATATTTTATCAGTCGAGCAGTTTCGAATATTAGCCCTGACAAATACACAAATTTAAAGACATGTTTTAAGGGCCGTTTATTTGGGGTTAACAAGGTTTAGTTAAATTATTGATTCTATACTTAAGTGCTCTTCTCAAATTCTTAATGGGTTTCTTTATATTTATAGATACCTCTGTGAGTGTTCTTGTTCTCCAATTCACAACCACCACACCTTCAGATGTTACTGCAATGCCAGTACAACTCCGGCCTGCTAGACCTTTAAATAACAAAAATATTTCTTATGTAACTCATTATTACCCTTCCAGTTTCCCATGAAATAATAATTGCACAACAGTTAACAGTTTGTGAAAGATTGCACTAAGATATGCCACCGATATATGATAACATAAGAATATATTTAAATACTAGCAGAACCTGCGGCTTCGCTCACGCTAAAACTAGAAAAAACTCTAAAAAGGTAGGTTTCATACAAACTTTTATCCCCTATTAAAATAAAAAGTAGCTTATGTCAGTTTTCAGCCCTCCAATTATCTCCACACAAAAAAATCACGCCAATCCGACACTGTTTCGTTGTGAAAAAAGGACAAACAAACAAATACGCTTTCACATTCATAATTATTATTGGTATCGACAAGGAATCATATTATGTATTTTTTGAAAGGTTATTTTAATAATCTTACCATCATTAACAATATGTGTTTTAAAGGCAAATGTTTCGTCATCCAGCACTTTGACTCTTGAGTTTCCAGCATCGAGAACATAAATTTCACGTCGTTTTGGACATCTGTAATTTAAAAAAAAAAATATAATTATAAAATTATTTATAATTAAAGACGATAATATTTACTGGACGTACTCTAAGTAACTCATGTATATATTTGTATAAACAAAATGTTTATAATACATTTTTAAAGTTGGCTTAATAAAACAATAATTCCTCACAAAGTTTACACTTAATATGTATTTTATTCACTATTCATATGTAGATTAATATTTAAATTCTATGACATGAACAATAAACATTGAATTATATTTGCATAGTAAAAGATAAACTAGAATAGGTCTGTAGTAATCTGATAGATTAAATGTAAAACCATATAACGACTAATTGTTGTGGATTAAGTACATTGACATAATACTTCACAGAGTATATTATATAAGTAACTCTGATTTAACCAATTACAATGAGATATCAGGCACAAAATAAATAACACTTAAATCCCTTCCAAATCGCTTCGACAATCCATGAATTTAAAACCCAATAACTATAGTTGGGTCGGTCCGCGACACGAACCCAGGTTCTGCAGACTTAACAGACACATGTAAACATGGAAGAAGAACCAACCTGACCAGATGAATAGGAAAATTAGCATACATATTTAAGCAATACCAACCTAACTAGAAAAATGGAGCATTATTAAAAACGGACCTAACGATCTCCCACAGAACAAATATATGTAATAACTCGCAAGCAGTAGCAAGTACGAACCTAGCGACAGCGACGGGCTGGCTGAGCTGCTCCTTGCCGGAGCCGCGCGCGCCCCACACGCGCAGCGGCGCCGCGGCCGGCAGCACGGCGGCGCGCAGCGGCGAGTCGCGCACGCCGCGCGAGAACACCAGCACGCGCACGCTCACCGCGCCCGCGCTCCACGGACGCATTGAGATTCTGACACACAACACACATATACCTTGGGGGACATTCGTTAGTTACGTGACCTTAAAATGTTAGATGGGGGTATAGTAAAATCTCATTTTAACTGACTATACTATATATATATATATATATATATATATATATATATATATATATATATATATATATATAATATGCAGGTAATAAAAAAAACATTAAATAGTTCTTTCGTTTTCATTTTCCCGCTGAAATAATCTCATGGTTATTATAAAAAATATTAATTCCGAGATTACCTGAATGTTCTAATGTAATACTAAAAACTTTAATTATTTTATTTAACATTGTTATTCCAAAAAATGCCGTCTGTAGCACGTTAAGATAAAAAAACCATATTCGTCCAATAGGAAATTGTTAATTCTAGTAAATCTACATACTAATAAACTATTAATAGGTGTACCAAATCAACTTACCTATACAATCCTGAATCAAGATCAGTGACGGTACACGGTAAGGGCGCGTCGTCCAACGTGGCCGCGGCGGTGACGGGGTCACCGCCTGTACTACGGGCTTCGCCGTGATAGTCGACTGTATGGAGCACCACTACCATTTCCAATCCACAAACGCAGGCAGATTCTGAAAGATTATACCACATTAGTTGACAATCTTACGAAATGTATGAATGTTGGTGTCAAATATAATAACAAAGTTATATATGAATTGGCAATGTAAGTCCTATGTCCACCAACTTTCATTGGTTTGATTGATAAGTATTAGATCGGTTTGTATTCCGCCCTTTTTAACGTCACACTGATATCTGATGGGCACGGGTTTTCCTTCAATACGGGTAGGAACAGGCTATAGTCCACCACGCTGGCCAAATGCGGGTTGGCGGACTTCACATATCTTTCGAAAACTTACTGGTTCTCTCAGACATGCGGGTTTCCTCAGAATGTTTTCCTTCGCCGTAAGAGAAGTAGTAATCATGTTGAAAATGATTCGCACAAGAAAATATCAGAGGTATGAGAGCCGGGATTTGAACCCGCTTCCCAAAGCGAGCGTATTACCACTGAGCTACCACTGCGTTACTAGATTTGTTTATTGTCTTACAAATGAATGAAAGTGGATGTCAATTTATATGTGAACTGTGAAGTGATAATGCACACTAAGACGGTCGGGTTGTAGGTCAAGGTTTTCAGTTCTGTATATGCAATTTTTTTATATTCATAATATATCATTATTATATATCGATTTTATATCCAACTCGTAGGTTGTCGAGGACGAATGACGAAAACAGGAGAATGGACATAAGGAAAAGATCAGATGTACACAATATAGGCGGAAATTGTCAATATATTATGTATTTATTACTAGTGCCGGTAAACAAACAGATATGCTATGTCATTCTCGAGGCTGATTGTCTCCATACAGAAAGTCATATCAATCGAACATGGGTATGAGTTTTATCTTTTATTATAATATATTTCTTAAGCTTATATCACTCTCTTTGCTTGCTTGCTTTGCTTTAGCGTGAACAAAGGAAAAAAAACAAACACACTTTCACATTTATAATATTAGTTATATGACATATATGCTTCAACAAATATTAATATTAATTAAAAGACGCATGTTAATCATTTTATCCGCTATCACATACACAGTTACACAACACACACATGCACAGTTATATATACACATTAAACATTATAACATATTTTTTTCAGCAAAAACTAAAATTAAAATCCTACACCAAACAAATCTATCACTTACCGAGCGACAAAGTACATAAACCAGGGAACGTAGTACTGGTCCTGACCCGCCCCAACTCTGCCAAAGCCTCAGCGAACCTCTGTTGGGCGTCGTTATGTGCGAAGTCTACAGCTAAGAAGGCATTCTCCCTGGGCTCGGCCAACGCGGCCGCGTCCCCTAATCTAGCTCCTAAGGCCGCAGCGCGACTGCTCACTTCCCTCACTTCTACTTGTTGTTGCAGACCAGAACACTCTGCTTCTACCTGCAATTCGTATCTCATAAAAATTATTGACAAAAAAGATTAAAAATATGATCATCTACATATGCCCTCGTTGATTAAAATAATCTTTTACGAGTACGTATAATAAAATTCTGGCTTAGTCGAATCTGTACATTAAATGTTGTTTGGAAAATCTTATTGAAATATTATGAATACAAAGGCAGAATCTATAGTATCTAGAATTTTTGTCTGTCTAAGAAAACCACTGGATTGATTTTGATGAAATTTGGTATGATGATAGCTGATTATCTGGGTCAACATATAGCTTATATACTTTTTACCTCGGGAAAATATCTCATCTCTGTGAAATCTATACTAACCGTTAAAAAGTTTGTAGGGACGAACCTGAGCGGAGCGAGGGTGAGTCGCTAGTATATAATAAATCCGTTGTGAGAGTTTTACTACAACGTGTTTCCTCTGGGAATGTAATATTTTCCTACCCTCCAATTGCTTTTATATAAAAATCGTACCGCTAAGCTGTCCCTTTTCGGCGAGAAAGGGTAAACAAACACAGGAAGAAGTATGATCAATACGTAATAAAAAGTCGATTTAATAAAATCTATTAGAAATAAGCTACTAAGTACATGAAACTTTAAGATTAAACAACACTCAACATATTAAACAGAATTCCAATTTAAATTCGACAAAATTTCATAAATTAACGATAGCATTTACTTTACCTTTGCTTTCTCAGCATCAATCAACTTCAATTGCTCTTCAAGTAGTTTTCTTTTATGCGTAGCAGCAGCGGCCGCGGCCGATTTCAGTTCACTGTGACGTTTGTCTAAAGCCGCTCTCAGTTCTGCAAAGTGTCGGTCTATCGCCTCGTCCGCAGCAGTCGCGGCTGCTTCCAGTCTTCTCAATTCACTAGCGACGGCATCTCTCGCCGACCCTAGCTTACTTAGGCACTCATTAGCTCTATATAACAATATTTCTGACATTCTTTTTAATGCTATAGAAAACGGCACCACTGTATGATCACAAGGCGTATCACTATGCGGACCATCCGCACAATGTCTGCAGAAAACGCAATCGCACGTTTCGCAGAAGAGTAGCTCTCTACCTGGGTGAGAACTGCACTGGGGTATGACTTCCCTTCTTTGCCTGGCCATTAAATCTAATAACTGGTTCACTAAGAAGGATGGCGGTAAGGCGGGCACTCCTCCACGGGGGATGGTGATTAATTCACGGCAAATAGGACATCTAAAGCTTCCCGCGTCCCTAGTTTGGGAGGCCGCTATTCGCGTAAGACAATGTAGGCAGACAGTGTGTGAACACGGTAAAAGTTTCGGAGTATGTTCGCCTCCATCGTAAGTGCCTGAAAAAGTATTTTATATAAGTTTTGAATACTGACAATTAAAAATATCTTAATATGATAAATTGCCCTAGATATAAGACATCAACTATTACATTTCGAATCCAAGTAAATATAATAAATACAAATTTGGAAAGAAAAACTATATGTGAAATGTGAATTGCTGTCAAAACTATGGGGGTGCATAATTTAATAGTGTACCAACATAAACATGTGCCGCAAGTAAGGAAGCTCTCATTAAAATCCTCATAGTTGATGGACACCGTCTCGACGAGCGTGGAGCTCATGCTCGCCATCCCGACGCCCAGCCGTGAACTGTACCATAACATAAAATGGAATGCAATGTAATAAATACTACTTTCACTCAAGACAAAAAGCTATAGTGATTATTCAAACCTCTGATCTTTTTAATTTAGTTATCATATGAAAATGTTCAATGTTTTAACTTTTTTTGTTTAATGCTACTTTATTACTCAAATAATAATTATAGATATTATTTATTTATAAAATTAATAATATCTAGATCAAAAATATGTCAACTGTTAATTCAAACAACTTGTATATCACAATAATTGTTGTGATAACTAAAATAAAAGGAGGCGCCTATTTAGGTCAAAATATATGTGTATAGTATCATAATTATTGTTTTATAGAGATAATATATTTGCAATATGTTATACAAAATGTGCTTTATTTTAAACGGAAATATGATATCACAAGGAAATATGCAACAATTATAACTCATATATTATTTTAACAATAAAATGCAATAGTTATGGCTAAATACAACATAATTATTTTGTATTAATACTACATTCCTTTTTGTAATCCATATTAATAATGGCATTTTGACAAATGAAAATTTATTTGAAATTGTTAATTGCTATTACATTGATGAGACAATTTACATAATATGTCAGTAAAATATTATGAATAATGTCCACATCCATTTGTCAGTTATATTGCCCATGGACATTTAATTACATACTTGTATAAATATTTATAGATATATTGTACACATTGATTAGTCGGTATATTAAAAATTTGATTAAGAACTTGAACTAATATTAAGCTGTAAAAAGCATGCTCATTACACACCCTGCTTCAGGCAATACATTTATTAATAAAACAATATTGTGGATAATACTTATAAAGCTCAAATTAGTGACAGTGCAGTTACATATTAACAATCTGTTAATAGTATGTATGGGAGGAAAAAGCAAATACAGCCATTACTGAAGGATAATTAATTTAACCTGTTTACAGAATATGAGATAATATGCACAGAGCTCTGTTACATGTGATTCACCAATCCTGGAAGATTGCTCTTGATTTATTTCATTGGCTTCAATTGAATGATGTTTGTCATAAATAATATGTTTATCAAGTTGTCCAAATAACAAATATTCATTATTTCATTTAGCCACTTTCACTTCAATATATTTACATTTATTAAATATATAAACATGTACAGTTCTAGAAATATTTTGAATGTGTTTTTGTGTTCACTTTGAATACTTTGGTATATTCACAACAAGTTTGTAATTTAACATAAGATATTGTAATTAAAATACAGAACAACTATCAAGGAAATGAAATCAATGCCAGCTACTATAGTATTGTGCCAAGTTCATTGACAATAATAGTTATCTTATAAATCCTATTTTGGTAGCTAGAAAATTATAAAAGGCTGTGCATTTGTAACATTGTACTCGAAAAAGCCTCAATAAAATTAAAATACTTAAAATAAAGGGAGCAAAATGTGTAGAAAAAAACCACTAAAATAATGAAATGTTTGTAAAATAAACATGAAATAATGTAAATATATAAATAAAACTTGAAAGTTACTAGTTCAAAGATAAAAGAAAAATACTCACAGGAAAGAGCAACAATACATGGACGCAAATTCCAGGCACACTTCAGTAAATTTATCTCATGATTTAAGAGACGAAAGCTCACCTTAAGCCGTGTTCTTTTTTACATTAAATAGAACTTGTAAATAAGTAAATCGTGAAGCGGGATCGTGAACACATATTAGTTTACCACGTTAGCATTCCGAAAACAGCAACTTAAATACATTAAACCACAAATGTAAGCTCTATTATATTATAGAATTATGTAGTAAAATTAAATTCGGCTTCTGTGTACAAAATAATATACGTATAGTTGAATAGTCTTTCGTAATCGATCGATAATATAGAAAAAACTATTTTCATGACAAAGAAAGAACGCTATAACTTTCTATAATTATAAAACATAATTGGTTTAATCTGGTAATCACCGCAATAAAATCATGGTATTACTATAACATTTTTAGTATTTTAACGTTTGAATTGGTTTTGTTTCCAAATATTTATCAAAACTATTTTTATGTCAACCATTAAACAATGTACGAAAACGTCAACTGTCAATACAGATAACTAATAATAAACTGACCATAAAATAATTTTCTCGATTTTGTATATTTCTCTAATAAAATCCTTGTGTATGTTTAGAAACTGTTTTTTTATTTTTATTACATAATAATATTTAGTAATACACTAATTATTTATTATATGTGGATATATTAATAGATCCCTTTTATTATATTTATTGTTATATTTTCTTCCTAATGTTTATCTTAATATTAAAATAGCTTTATGAAAAATCACAACTTATTATTGATACAAGTTCATATTTTTATTTCAAGGTCATTTTAATAAAGTATATAGTTATTTTGGTTGATCATATAGTCGTAGACAGTACTCAGTAGTTTACTAAATATATATATTTTGACACGACATATTCTGTACTTTACACTGTATAGTGAAATAATGTGTGAAATTTTGCTCAAACGATGTTTTTTTTTATCTTCTATATCTAAACAAATAAACTTATTTCGGTACGGCATGGTGATGGTATTATTTTAGAATACATATTTATAGTTTAGATAAACAGACGAAATTTAATGATATCTACTTCTTAAAAAAAATATTTGACCTTCCGTATGTGGTGGCACCATGCTATGTATAACGCCACAGCTTGCCGCGTCGGAGGTAATAGGTTCGATTTAAAATTTATATTTTTTATTGCTTTGTTACAGATATTCAACAGTAGCGAATAATATTAAAACTTTCGAATGTATACCTGGATTATCGTCTTTACCCTTACTGGGCCCTATACACCATTTCATTCCAGGAATTGGTAAAAAATATAAATTCTATTAGATTTTGCTATTTTTACTTGCTTTATTTCTTAAATTCTCTCTCATAAATCTTTTAGGTTCGATAGGAAATCCGGCAAATTTCTATAATTTGTTAAGTATACTGTATGAGAAATTTGGGAACATTGTTAAATTAGATGGTGTCTTTGCTAGAGCCAGTATGGTTATTTTGTATGAACCAGAGCATTTTGATCAGGTAAGTATTTTACATTGGTTTTAGATTTTATTAAACATTTTAAAGTGAAACATGAACGGGGTGAGTTTCAGGTATATAGGTCAGAAGAAACATTACCTTCAAGACCTGGATTTGACACGCAAATTTATTATAGAACAGTGTTACGAAAATCAACATATGACGGTGTATACGGATTAACTACCGCGTAAGTTATGCTATATTTACACGCTTTCATAATAATAACCATAAGTTGATGATAATTTTTATAATCCATTCCAATATTTTATATTTAAATACTTTTCTATCCTTATGATAAAATTCTGAGTCGAATTTGCACATTAAATATTTTTTTGGAAAATCTTATTGAAATTGTCTTTATTATCGAAACTCGGGCCGAATCTATAATAGTTATTAGAATTTGTGTTTGTCTGTCTGGAAACGCATCACGAGAAAACCACTGGACAGATTTTGATGAAATTTGGCATGATGATATCTCGTTATCCGGGTCAACGTGTAGGATATTTTTTACTGCGGGAAAATATCTCATCTCTGAGAAATCTATACTAAACGTTAAAACGTAACTATAAGAACGAACCCGAGCGGAGCGAGGGATAGTCGCTAGTTTTCAAATAATTTACTAAAAAATGTACCTTTTATATTACTCAATAGAATTAATTTTTAAAGTTGAAAACTCTTGAGGAAAACTTTATTCAGTAAAAAAATAATTATAAAAAAATTTACACACAAAAAAAACTTTCGAATTGAGTGGATACCTGCTTCATTCTGAAATCGGTCAAGAAAGGTTTACCACTCCCCACTTAATTCTACCTGCCGGTTTAGTTAGATAATGTAACACTTCGTACATATATTTTATTTTCATATTAAATGAAGAGAAGGTGCACAATGGCGTGACTTTCGTACTAAAGTGAATCCAGCGCTGCTAAAACCTAAATTAGTGAAGCTCTACATGCCAACCTTAGAGAAAATTGCTGAAGATATGGTAGCCAGGTACCTAATCGAAAAAAACAATTATTAAAATTATAAATAAATAGGTAACAAACCTCCAACTTATCATACTAATATTATAAATGCAAAAATGTATAAAGTTTTACATGTGTGTCTGGATGTACAGATGTATGGATGATTGTTACTCTTTCACGCCAAAACCACCGAATGAATTTTAATGAAACTTTACAATAATATAGCTCATACATCAGAATAACACATAGGCTACTTTTTATCCCGGAAAAATATACGGTTCAATAAATATAAAGTGGATGTCGATTGATATGGTTTTCTATACAGATTTCATAAAGAATAGTTGAAGGACTCAAGATTTGAATGTATATATTATGCTTCTTTATCAAATACCAAGGGACAAGCGAGGCGAAGGCTCGCCACTACTTATCTATACTAATATTATAAAGAGACAGATTTTGTTTGTTTAAATGCTCTAATCTCAGGAACTACTAATCCGATTTGATTTTTTTTTGCATTAAATAGCCCGTTTATTGAAGAAGGTTATAGGTATCATACAAGATATAGTCTGATGATGGATACACCCAGTCTGTTCTATACTAACCGTTAAAACGTACCTAGTATATATAATATACTCTTACAGGTTAAACAAATTGAAAAATGACCCATATTTACAACAAAATCTCGATCTAGAAATGACAAAGTGGTCTTTAGAATCTGTGGGAGTTATTGCTTTAGGAACGAGGCTTGGATGTTTGAAGGACAGTTTAAGTGATGAGCACCCCGCAAGAATTCTCATAAAATGTGCACGCGATATGATAGACTTGTCATATAAATTAGAAAACCGACCTAGTCTATGGAGATATTTTCCTACTCGTAACTTCAAGAACCTAGTCAAAACATTTGACAAGCAATGGGAGTAAGTATCAGTTAAAAAATGTTCAGATTATTGTTCGTAGACAGCCAACAGGTATAACTTTTTAATGAAACTTCAAGTTATATAGATCTAACTTTTAGACTCTTTGAAAATTAATGATATTGTATACCTATTTATTAGAAAAAAAAAGTCATAACTAGCCTGGATAGATAGACTGAGAGATAAAAACTTTCATTTTATTTTTATGCAGCTGTAGATGAGATTACAATTGACATATGCCATGCACAAATATATACTAAAGTTAATGTATGTGAAATATTTTAAGTACAAGTCTTAAGTTTATTGAAGAAGCAAAACAGAAAACTAAAGATAGAGGACATGATGTTCCAGAAGAAGACAAAAGCGTGGTTGAGAAACTGTTGGCTATTGACCAGAAAGTAGCAGTTGCAATGGCGAATGAAATGTTGCTTGCAGGAATCGACACGGTAATTTTTATAATCCTTATAATTATTTATTTAAACAGAGAAAAAAGGATATTATAATATTAGTTATTGGTGTAAAAATAAAATTTTAATCTCAAAAATTATTCACTCACCAAGCCCTTGTATTTTAAGGTGGCATTTACAGCTACATGCCTTCTTTACAATTTGGCGACAAATCCACATGTACAAGATAAATTAAGGGAAGAGATTCAGTCATCGGAACAAAGTTACAGATATTTACGAGCGTGTTTGAAGGAATCTTTAAGATTATTTGCAGTCATTCCAGCGAATTTGCGAAGAACTACTAAGGAACACGTTGTGGGTGGATACCACATCCCAAAAGGAGTAAGATCATTCATATAATTATTATTAGACAACTATTATAAATACTAGTTTGTATGTGCGTGTGTGTATGTTTGTTATGCGTTTCGCGGTGAAACGGTTTGCCTGACTTGAATGAAGTATACAGACTGTGATTAGGAGTAGACAGACTTGGAATCTTTGGCATCCACGGACGCACCCAATCGAAGCAAGTTATTCGCAAGTTTCTATATAAAAACACTTTATTTTTGCCTCTTTTTATCATTGTTATTGGTCTACTCAAGGTTAGTTTTCTATTAAGTGGCCAATTTCGGCTTGCGTTAGTTTCCACTGGGCTCATTTATAGATGTATGGAGTATACCAATGGTTAAATTCTATTAAAACTCGGTCACGTTGACCATACAGATATAATAATGTTACGTCTGGTTAACATAATGGGTTATGTGTATGGGGGATCGCAATCTTCACGGGTCACGAATAATCTTTTGTTTTGGTACCCCATAAGACTTATGGGATACAAAACAAAATGTCTCATCGGTCTCTTATAATAAGAGATGTTGATTCTTGTACCTACATTACATAGAGTAACTGAATGAATGCATTGTTACTTAAAAACTACAGCCTCTCTTAATTCTCACCTTAAGCATTATAGGTAAATGCTGTTTTGCAATTTCCAGATCGATGTCATTGCACCTAATGAGTTTTTATCGAGAATGGATAAATATTACCCGCAGGCAAAGGAGTTTATTCCAGAGAGATGGCTAGTTCAGAAATCTGACCCATTATACTATGGAAATTGTCATCCCATGGTGACGTTGCCTTTTGGGTTTGGTGTAAGGTCTTGTATTGGAAGAAGAATTGCTGAGTTAGAGATCGAAGTGTTGGTTAAGAAGTTAATAAGTAATTTTAATGTCTCTTGGGACGGACCACCAGCACAGGTAGTCACAAGAGTAATGAATTCAATAAAAAAACCTTATCATTTCAAATTTCAAGCCATATAGGGTACTTTAAATGAAAACGTCATTAATATTCTTAAATTATTAACACTAATTATGTATCATTTATTAAAATATTGTATTGTTTGTAATAAAAACTTATTGTTATAAAGGTTTTCTATATTTAGCCTGAATCCAAACCCTGTACATTGTTAACATTTTGCCTCTGTTTACTTGCAGTCGTCTATCTACTAAGTTTTGTTCTTCTACAAAACCCACACTCTTAAAAAGATTAGAAATTTCTTGTTGTGTGAAGAAATACACCATTGTGTTGTCACCTCGAGCATAAAAATTGTTCGAAATGCATCGGCCTTTCTTAAACCTTAGTTGAGCCAAGTCATATTTGCCATAGTCTCTAAAAACCACTAGACCTCCTGGTTTCAAATATTTATATATGTGGCTGATGACGATCTGCATCCTGTAATTGATCAAATTAGCACATGAAACATTTCATTCATCTCTTTACTCAATATATTTATTTGAAAATAATCTTATATCTCTTTATTGTAAGATAAAGAATATTTCTTTTTATTTTTATTTATTGATTTATATATGTTATGAAATAGACTTTTTTTTAAATATTATAATTCCAAAAAAAAATATAAAGGCTTTTAATATAAATAAATATTAAGAAGCGTAAACAGATAGTGTTATTTAAATGCAATTTGTGTATTAAGTATACACTATACAACCAATAAAAAAGTATAGTCTGTTTGTAGTTTCTAAATATTAAAACCTTATTGTTATTCATTTTATATGAAAATCTATTTTATATCCACTAATTTTTTGAAAGGTTTAACTGATTTTGATATGACTTTCATGGCCAATTAGAAGATTTAAGGAAATATTACATAGTGTACTTTTTAAACCTAGAATGAGAATCAATGAGGTTCAAAACTTTAAGTAGTTTACTTTACTTACTTTGATGGATCAATTGCAGATAACACAAAAATCAAAACAATTATATCCAGTGAATTTTCTGCAAATGGTACATTCCAAGCACTTGAAGTTGCATCCAAAACAAAAACTTCACACCTTTTAGTGTCATACAGTTCGTTCTGTTTCATAATATCTATAGCTTTAGATGAAAAATCACAACCATAGATAAATAAGTTTGGGTCTTGACTGTATTGTAGAATAGGAAAAATTGTGTTACCAACACCACATCCTATTTCAAAAATGTAACGTTTATTGTTGAAGTCAACAGTTTTAATTGATTCTTCATTGTTTCCATGATTACTTTCACTACTTGGAAAAACTCGGACTGGGGCTGAGGTGTTGTCCGGAGCTAATTCAGGAAATTCAGTGAATAACCAATGTCTATCTTTAAAGAATCTGTAAAATTAAAATGTTATGATTTATAACTAGAAGAGAATTAACACAGTACATAAAACATTTTTATTTATTACAAATCATTTTATTCACTTTTAATATCATTGATAAACTCATACATCATTTATTAATTTATAATTTTTAAAGTTTATTAGCCTTACATTTTAATTATATTATTATTAATGTTATTTATTAAAAGTAGAATATCAAATGAGTTACCTATTTTGATGTATATCATAGAAAGCATCCCAATGTTTATCAGCATTTAGCTCTAGATCTTTCAAGTGTTCTTCAGTAAAGGTTACTAGAGAATTAAGTTCCACTTTTTCTGCTGCTGCTTTTTCCTGTTCAGCATCCCATTGAACATTGTCCCTGAAATTTGTAAATATATCTAAAATTTTTTTAGAATTTGCATATGCATAGTTATTATTAAAAGTTTATAAAGTCTATGTAATATTATATCGATATACCATGAGTTAAAGAGATAAAGTTGTTTTATATCCTTCAAATAACGACTCCCACCTGGGGGTTTTTTTCTATGTCGTGTTGATTCCAATTCCACAGTGCTAGCATGGGTAAACTTAATATTCTTACAATATTTACGAATAGTAATTTTGAAAGTACCAAGCATTATGTTTGAAGACTTCGTCCACATTTTCTAATAATCTGTTTCCAAATTGCCGCCTTTTATACGAGTTGTCCATTAAAGCAGATTACTTTTAATTCTCTACTAAAGTTGTATTTTGATTAAATTTAATTTTTATTTCCATTAAAGTATACTATATAAATTATAACCTAGGCTAATAACTCATATTTGACAGATGACAGTTCTCATATAGTCTAAAAAAGACGTTGACTATCAAAACGTGACACTGGCAGAATGGCGTCTGTTAAGGTTAACGCAACTTTATGCCATTAAAGAAAAAAAAGACGTTAACTCTAACAAGGGACTAGATTATGTTTTTGTATTAGTTATAAAAATAGTTTTAATGACGAAGTAAAATTAAGAAAAAGAAAAAAGAACCATATAGCTGAGAGATAACATGTGAAAATACTTTCTCTAAAAATAAGAAATGTTTCTAAAACATTTTTTTTCGTGTTACGTGATATAGGGTTGCGTGGCTAAATGGCCAAAATCTTATAATTTTACAATATTTGTCTGTCTGTCTGTCACAACCATTTTACTCGAAGACCCATTGCTGATATCTCATGTGAATCGCTAGACAATTCTGTAGTCATTTTATAGAAAATAAAAAAAATAGGAGTGGTAGGTATACATATACTGAGGGATGAAAAATATTTTAAGTGCATATCTAATCTTATATATTTAAACGAGCAATTCTTGTATATATATATTCGTGAAATTTGCATACAGGGGGTTTCGGGGGCGATAAATCGCTCTAGATTAGTCTTTTGTGTGAGGAAACGCGTATTTTCGAGTTTTCATGCAGTTTTCTTTTGCATTATTCCTCGCAAAATATGGGCGGTAATTTGCACGCTCGGGTATAAGCATTGTGTTCAAGCGCAGAAGGTGCAAGATCAACAATCACAGGTATCCAGGTTCGAATCCCGGTCGGATACAAAGGTATAATTTATTTTTGTTTTTTTTTTGTATTTATTCAAGTTTTTTTTAAAGAAAATTGTACTTTTCAACCAAAAACTCCGAGCGAAGCTCGGTGGCCCAGGTACTAAATGTTTAATCCACACGTGTGGGGTATCTCTTTAGATAAGTATGGTTCTTAGTGAATTTTTAGTCAGGTCAATAGTTGCAGAATTGTGCTTTGAAATATGTTTTGGAAAATTCTTAAAAATTCTGAGATACTAGAGCTTCCAAAATTATGTTTTTTGTTTTGTTTGTCTTTCTTTCACGTCCTTTGAATTATGGATTGGCAAGATTTTTTTGAGATTGGGGATAGTTGGAGGGCTGAAGAACGACATAGGCATACTTTTTACCGCTGTAGATTATTTCTTTGCCACGGGAAAACACTTACATAATATATATTCCATTTATCTATTCCATACCAACAGTTAATACGTTACCTAGGGACGAAACCGCTCGAAGCGAGGGTGAGCCGCTAGTATTTAATATTAATATTTTTTTGAAGCAAAATGTTTAATGTACGCAGTGGTAGCTCATTGGCGCACTTGCTTGGAAAACCAAGGACAGTGGGTTCAAGACGCAAGCTTCAACACGTCATCGTGTGCGTATTTTATTTTTATAAGCTTTTAAGTTTTAATATAATTGCAATGTTTGTATCTATTTTAATTCGGGTTAAATCATGCGACTGAATTTTTAAACAGTTATCCTCAACCTATTTAGCTGAAATTTTGCAGACACGATTAGTTCGGAATTTGGATGACTATGCATGGTTATCTAAGTGACGTCATTCTAAATCCAACATGGCGGATTCCCAAAGATGGCAGAATATGTTTTTTATGCAGTCCTCTGATATGGATATCAAATGAAAGGGTTTTCTGAGAAGAATATCAGTAAATAACTAAAAAATAAAAGTTTAAATTAAGTCAAACCATAAAATTATTACACTATGCAATTTATATGATAGAGTTTAAAAACAAGGTTTTATAAACATGTTTTTTATCATTAATTTATTCTTAATAAATCGGTCGCGTACCTACCTTGTATATTCATTGTTTCATGTTCATGTTTATTTTCATGAAGCGAAAATCATTTCTCTAAGTTTTCTTTTACTATTTTATTATTATTAAATCGTGAATTGATTGATTACTGAATTAGAATTTCAATCCGTGTTAATATATTTTTCAATGGTTTTGAAAATTAGCTAAATCGTTATTTTTAATACTGATTTTCAGAAAGAGTAATTTTGCTTACTTTAAATATTAATTAAATTAAAAATATATACTTATTGATAAATATGCATTAGACTAGTGAGTGCACTGGATAGGTAACTCATATAAAATGACACTAGACTTTGGAAGCTTTAATATAAATTACCACCAGGTTTTGATATCTGTTATTGAATTTGTTGTTGTGTCATAAACATCCCTTGATGCTATTCTACGATCAAAGAAAACATCATAAAAACGATTCTTCGGATCATTAACGACTTCCCGCAAACGAAATAGCTGTGCGTTGAAATTTATATTGTCTCCTAAATAATGAAACTTTTGCTTGATACGTACATAAAATAAAATCCTTACTTAGCAGTAGTAAGCAAATATCGAGATAAAATTGACCGGTTTACTTGAATAGTTTGAAAGTCCATAAAATAAAGTTATCTAACAATCACTGCAGCAAATTTTAAGATATAAAATTTAATTTCAATATTTAGTTATAATAGCATAATAAATCTATTTATTACTTGATGATATTTTTTTTATTTATTAAATAAATAATTCATCTGGATTTACCTAAAACATATTTCTTATAACCTACCTACCATTATATATATGTCGTGTTATCCATATATTACGAACATCATCTTTAGTGGTTACTCATCTTGTGGGCGTTATCAAGGCTCAAATAATAAAGTATTCAGTGCTCAATACACAATTTAATCAGGGAAGTCACAATGTTATAAACTTGAAACGGTAATTCTAATGATTTAGAGCTAGCGGGTTCACAGTCACCGATCATCGACTTCCAACTACAATATCAAATATAACTCTCTATGATCAACCAACGTTACTAAGCCACGTATCTCCAAAGAATGTCGTGATGGCGTCTCGACCCCGCTCGAGACTAAATCTCTGCTCTAAATTCAAAATGAGCAATAAAAACTAAATTAAAGAACATAGTGACTTTAAACAATAATAAGGTTTCATAACAGAAAAAGGTAACTAAATCCTCCTCCGTCTCGGCCGTCCTGCTGTTCACACGCCCTCAGGTGATCTTGTGGAGCACTCACCATCGCTATTTCTTCTACCACGGCCGTCCTGCTGTTCACGCGCCCTCGTGTGATATTGAAAATCGATCTATAGAAAAAGTAACATTAGCTCGGCTATTCCTGACCAAATAACTGACCATGGTGGCCAAACTTACTAAAACTAGCCATCGGTGCAGTAGATATTTAGTGCAAAAGTGTACGCACAGACACGTACACAGTATTAGGTTATTTTTAACTTTATTCTCCTTAATCATTGAATAAGCTAGTTATCTTTAGGACAAATTTTTCAAAGCTTAATCTTTAAACTGACTGAAACTTTAAAACTACACACACGAAGTTATCATTGAGCACAAGTTACAGAAGTAAGTGTCTCATATGTTAATCAAGTTAAGTCGGTGCCACACAAATCAAACGATGCGATACAACCCAACCGATGCCACACAGACAACTCTCGCCATTCAGGCTACATGTGCCACAAGGTTACTTTTGCCACACAGGCAACTCTCGCCACTCAGGCTACATTTGCTACAAAGACTCGTCAACGCCAAATAGGCACCCCATTGTCTAAATACCACCTTCCACCATCGTCGCACAGCAATATCAGAATCATACAGCCTCATCGTGCTACTTCGGCTTGTCAATGTTACATAACTTCGTCAATTCAGTCACCCTAGCTTGTGCTACGTAGGTTCATTAATGTTAAGCTGCTAGATATTATTAGAAATAACTACGATAATTAGAACCGTATATAGCGGTACATTCTGAGATCACTTGCCTCACATATCTAAACATAATGGAAACGTCTCACCATAGAAAATTCACATTAGATTAAATGAAACATCCACAGATATTCATTTTTGGCATAGCCCAAGCATCTCTGGATACCGTCTTCTTCTAGGGCATCGTATACGTCTCATGTAGTCTGGCTTAGCGTGATTTATTTATCTGGCTGAAGAAATCATCCTCTCTATGCTTAATACATATTTTTAACACTTGAAACAAAGCACCTGAAAATTCATATTATTTATAATTGTGCCACATAGTTGTTACTACCATCGACCCGATCTAATTATGTTTAATCTTTAGACCAAATAAGGACATATGAAATCGGTATTATAATCAAAGATTTCTATCTTAGCCTGCGTATGAGAATGTCTTCGGAGTGTACACAAACATTAGTTTTTCGCTGTATCACCATTAATACAGTTGACTATTTCTCATATTTCTTTTGGAACATATTTTACCTGATGGACTGCTAGAAAATTTTTAAATTAGTATCAACTGCTAAATAAAATTTTTATAACAGAAATGAATACGCAAGTTAAAGGAACTATGTAATTTTCCCAATATAATGCACAAATATCGTCCGTTTATTTTCCGCCGATAAATAGTTAAATCTGTTAGTCAAACCTTTAAACAAAAATATCAACTCATTATTTTCACTTTAGAAATCCTGAAATAAAGAAAATATAAAGCAAACAATTACAATATAAAACATTTTTGACATCCTAAAATTCTGACATGATTTATATTTTATTTCAGAACTAGAAGAAGGTTCTTATAAGCATCGAACAAAAACATTTAAAAAATAAATCTCGTAATTTATCGATTAAATAAATTAACTTCATATATCATCCTGAAATAAACAAATTTTCCATTTAATTTTTCCATACATATTGTGTTCAAAAATATTTCTGCGATAATATCAAGAAAATCAAATCCAGCTAGCAACAAATCTTTGACGACGTCATGTCATTCCATAAAAATTAAATTGAGACATCTATGATTA